TTAAACTACCCAAAATCCCCGCCTCAATAAAACCCCCAGGTAGACTTTCCCCTCATCAAATACCCCATTTTCCCAAAACCCAAAACTTTCCTATTCCTTTCTAAATCTAAACTTACTAATTTAAAACCATTTACTGCGGGTTCTCCCCCTTGGGGAGCATCCTCAAAACCATTTAAAATCCCCTTTTTTAAAACCCATTTCCATTATACACTCATCAGGTCCCCCCATTCTTTGCTAAAAAGTGAATGTAACTTAAGTCTTAATGTAACTTAAATAGGATTTGTCTTAAAAAAAAGAGTAGGGCATTTAAAAATGGGGGAAAGGAGGTATTTGGTAGATGGCAGAATATTTTAGGAACTTTTAAATGTTAAAGGGAAAAAAGAGAGGAGTAATTTCATGCACGGGCGGGGGTATACCATCTTTTAGGGGTGAAGAAGAGCAGAATGTAAGTGGGGGGGAGGTACGTGAGGCATTACGTAGAATGAAAGGGGGTAAAGCAGCTGAAACTAAGGGGATCATGACAGAAATGTTAAAAGCAGGGGGGGATATAGTGTTGGAGTGGTTGGTACTTTTGTTTAATAAATGTACGAAAGAGGGGAAGGTACCTAGGGATTGGCGGAGAGCATGTATAGTCCCTTTATATAAAGGGAAAGGGGACAAAAGAGATTGTAAAAATTATAGAGGAATAAGTTTACTGAGTATACCAGGAAAAATGTAGGGTAGGGTTTATAATTGAAAGAATTAGAGGTAAGACAGAATGTAGGATTGTGGATGAGCAAGGAGGTTTCAGAGTGGGTAGGGGATGTGTAGATCAAGTGTTTACATTGAAGCATATATGTGAACAGTATTTAGATAAAGGTAGGGAAGTTTTTATTGCATTTATGGATTTAGAAAAGGCATATGATAGAGTGGATAGAGGAGCAAAGTGGCAGATGTTGCAAGTATATGGAATAGGTGGTAAGTTATTAAATGCTGTAAAGAGTTTTTATGAGGATAGTGAGGCTCAGGTTAGGGTGTGTAGAAGAGAGGGAGACTACTTCCCGGTAAAAGTAGGTCTTAGACAGGGATGTGTAATGTCACCATGGTTGTTTAACCCTTTGAGGGTTTTGGTCGTACTAGTACGTCTTACGCGTAGGGGTTTTTGACGTACTAGTACGCATAAATTCTAGCGGCCTCAAATCTAGTGGGAGAAAGCTGGTAGGCCTTCATATGAAAGAATGGGTCTATGTGGTCAGTGTGCACAGTCTAAAAAAAATCCTGCAGCACACAGTGCATAATGAGAAAAAAAAAACTTTGACCATTTTTTTGGAATAAATCAGCGACTTTGCAGTGTATTTTCGTATGGTATTTATTGTTGTATTCTAGTTTTCTTGGTCTCATTTTATAGAATGGAAGACATATTACAGAAATTGAGATGATTTTGACTGGTTATAATGAAAGGTGCCTTGAAATTGAGCTCAAAGTAGCAGAAATGTTCGATTTTTACCAAACTTCAAAAGTAAACAAATCGTGCCAAGCGTGCAATACACGTCAACTGGTGAGTCTAATATTCTTTCACAAGTGCACCAATAATATTTATACCATTTTTTACACTAATGCAGTAGTCTGCATAACAGTAAATCTTATATTTTTTGTGAGAATAAAAATTCAAAGTGGAAAGCAAAAGAATATAAGAGGGGCCTTGAGACATGACTAATGACTAGAGGAAATGTCATTTTAGTGCCAGGAATGTCTTTCTTGTTTATTCTGGACCCTATTGGAAATTGGCATCTTTTGAAATTTGTGTGAAATTGGCAAAATTGCTAAATTCTGACAACTGTACTGGATAGTTGAATTTCAAAAATGGTGGTTTCTTGCACCCATTCGATAGAAAAAATGGAGTTCTAGCGAAATATTCATGTTTTTTGTCGACTAGTACAGTGAAATTGGCCGAAAATGGGGCTCAAAGTGGGCAAAATCGCCGATACGTAAACATCGCCGAGACCGCTAACTTTGCGAGAGCATAATTCCGTAAGTTTTCTATCAAATTTCAAACTTTTGGTGTCTTTATGATCGGGAAAAGATTCTCTATCTTTTCATAAGAGAAAATAATTTTTTTTTTTAAATTTGGCCCACCCTGAGAACGAGTTTCGGAGAGGGCCTGTCGACCCTCAAAGGGTTAATATATTTATAGATGGGGTTGTAGAGGAAGTGTTCGGGAGAAGGGTGGGATTAAATTTTGGGGAATCAAATTCAAAATGGGAAATGACACAGTTACTTTTTGCTGATGATACTGTGCTTATGGGAGATTCTAAAGAAAAATTGCAAAGGTTAGTGGATGAGTTTGGGAATGTGTGTAAAGGTAGAAAGTTGAAAGTGAACACAGAAAAGAGTAAGGTGATGAGGGTATCAAATGATTTAGATAAAGAAAAATTAGATATCAAATTGGGGAGGAGGAGTATGGAAGAAGTGAATGTTTTCAGATACTTGGGAGTTGACGTGTCGGCGGATGGATTTATGAAGGATGAGGTTAATCATAGAATTGATGAGGAAAAAAATGTGAGTGGTGCGTTGAGGTATATGTGGAGTCAAAAAACGTTATCTATTGAGGCAAAGAAGGGAATGTATGAAAGTATAGTAGTACCAACACTCTTATATGGGTGTGAAGCTTGGGTGGTAAATGCAGCAGCGAGGAGACGGTTGGAGGCAGTGGAGATGTCCTGTTTAAGGGCAATGTGTGGTGTAAATATTATGCAGAAAATTCGGAGTGTGGAAATTAGGAAAAGGTGTGGAGTTAATAAAGGTATTAGTCAGAGGGCAGAAGAGGGGTTGTTGAGGTGGTTTGGTCATTTAGAGAGAATGGATCAAAGTAGAATGACATGGAAAGCATATAAATCTATAGGGGAAGGAAGGCGGGGTAGGGGTCGTCCTCAAAAGGGTTGGAGAGAGGGGGTAAAGGAGGTTTTGTGGGCGAGGGGCTTGGACTTCCAGCAAGCATGCATGAGCGTGTTCGATAGGAGTGAATGGAGACGAATGGTACTTGGGACCTGACGATCTGTTGGAGTGTGAGCAGGGTAATATTTAGTGAAGGGATTCAGGGAAACCGGTTATTTTCATATAGTCGGACTTGAGTCCTGGAAATGGGAAGTACAATGCCTGCACTTTAAAGGAGGGGTTTGGGATATTAGCAGTTTGGAGGGATATGTTGTGTATCTTCATATGTATATGCTTCTAAACTGTTGTATTCTGAGCACCTCTGCAAAAACAGTGATAATGTGTGAGTGAGGTGAAATTGTTGAGTGATAATGAAATTATTTTCTTTTTGGGGATTTTTTTCTTTTTTGGGTCACCCTGCCTCGGTGGGAGATGGCCGACTTGTTGGGGGGGGGGAAAAAAAAAAAAACCTGTACATATTTTTACTGATGTTTGCAAGTGATTGTGGCTGTGGTGGTAGGTGGTAGTTACAGAACTGCCTGTCATGTTTGTACAGGGTCACATGAAACCTCCCCACACAATTCTAAATCAACAAAAATAAGAATTATAATGGAAAACTTGATCATTTTTGAGTTGTGATAATTTACCAGGCTTAAAAATTTGGTGGGAGCTTTTTTGGGGATGAGAGGATTGGAAATCTGTTTTTCCCTTAAGTTCTTTATTTCATTTTAGATGATTTTTGACTAGATGCTGTTTTCAGGAACGTATAATAATATCATTAATAAAAATATAATAACAATAGCCATGCACTTCGTAAAAGGTAACCACAATGTCGGGAACAAGGGGTTAGTAACCCCTTCTACTGTATAAATTACTAAATGTATAAAGAAAAACTTCACACCAGCTGGCCATCCCTCAGAATAATCAACTCATGAGCTCAATGTTCCTCATGTTTCTGGTGCCACTGGATGCAATATACAGTAGAATCCCCATACTCGCGGGTTTGGTTTCCGCATTTATTGTGGCCCAAAAATAACCCTTAATTTTACTTAATAATGACCACAAAGCACAAAAGTATTAATGATGGATGTTATAGATGCCTAAGAGAAGCTGTGAAGTGCTTCTCATTAGTGAAAAAGTCCTAATTCTCAACTTATTGTGCATAATTTTATCAATTAAACTATCACTGGTATGTATGTATATGAAAAACGACTTATACATAGGGTTCACTACTATGTGGTTTCAGGTATCCACAGTAGGTCTTGGAACATATCCCCCCGTGGGAATGGGGGAACTACTGTACTGTCCCCTCACACTCTGTGATATATATGTGTATCATTAAGACTTCAGCAGAAGACCTATTGACAACAACTGTAGAAATAACAAACCATGCCTCAAAAGGTGATCCCAACACTCACATACATCACCACCTAATGCATTTATAACTTATTACATTAATTTCTCATAGACTACTTCATGCTTGAGAAAGAAGAAGGGAGTAGAGGCAAGAAGAATATTCATATTGCAAATAATTCCAAAATAAATTTAAAAAATCAGAATAAATTTTTAATCAGAAAATTCTGACTTGGCAAAAAATTTTGAATTAAAATTAAATATCTCCAAAACAGTCTGAATTAGACATTTACTTTCTAAATTTAGGAAAATATTGACAGAAATTACTGAAGAAGAAATAATTTAACACCTACCAAGGCAATGAACCAAAGAAAACATCTACCAACACTCATTCCCTGTCTTTCAATGATGACCCACCAAATAGCAACATCCTCACCCAACTTCCTAAGTGCAGTATTTACCACATCCACAACTAAAGTCTAACTAACTAGTTTCACTAAATTCATTAATATGGTGGTTTTCTTTTATATCAGCCATTTTCCACTAAGATAGGATGACCTAAAGAAAGAAAGGCTTTTATCATCACAAAAAAGTGTGCAGACAACATGATCATGTACAACATTATTGTACAGTATTACTACATTTACCCTCAAACAGCTAGTGAGGTTTCAAAGACTGCTCACCCCCACTCACTCTGATGAAACACACATCTTGTGTTTCTCAAATGCTCTCTACACTTTTTTCCACCAAAAGAAAATACAACTTACTGGTATGTTTGGGATCTTGGTGATGGGTTCCATTCTCTCAACTGAACCAATTGACACTTCAGGAATCCAAAGAGCACATGCCACATGAGCCCATTTCTGTCCAGATTTTGTGGACTTCATGGCACCTCCTGGTAATACATAAAAAAAATTTACCAGTGTGAAAATAAATTTCAAAATACATGTAAGAAATATAAAGAAAAAAATGTGTACAGTAGGTATGCCTGACAATACATTTAAAACAGGATGGCATATCAAGAAACTCAATGTTTACAATTAACCATTTTTTTTTTTTACCTATAATGCTATGTTGATTTCTTAGCAGCAATTTTTGTAAATTACTGAACAATTCTCCATTCTGATTCTGCTGCTGCAAGATTAAGCATGTGTAACATTGGTGTTATGACAACTGTGTGAAAAATCTTTATATTTTGAACTCTGAATACAGATAGTGGAGTGGTTATGACTATGAGGATCTCCAAAGGAACAATTTTACGCTGTTTACTGATGATCAATTACACCCCACTGAGGAAAGTATGAAGAAAAAATGTTGTCTAAGAGACCAGCAGATAGAGGTGTAGACTATAGTCATGATACTGTTCATAGCAAAAGCACATTAGAACATTTTCAGATATACCAACGCAACAAAATAATGATTGGCTTTTAACTGAGAATACTGCAAAAGGACAGACAAAATCATTCACATCTAGAAGAAAACATGCAAGACACAAAGAACCTGTAGTTCAACCAAGTGTATAGAGATTCAAAAGTAAGAAATGACATTATGGAAAAGTACAGAGTGCAACCTACACCATAAGACAAAGTGAGATAAAAAAAAAAAATATCTGGGAGAAGAAGAAAGCCAGTACAAAAACAACACAGGAGCTAAAGCAAAGACTGAGCCATATGAGATGGAATATGGCAACAAATGTTACAAGAATGAAGGAAAATGATAAGGCAATTTGCAAAGTAACAAAACATTTCAAAAGTGTCTTTCAAAATAGAACATGGGCCAGTTCCTGATAAAGGAATGAAAAGGATCAACCACAAAGAATTGTAAAATGCCAAAACAAGAAGTAAGGAAGACGAGGGATTTCCATGAGAACTGGAAATATCAAAATCAATGAGACCCAACAATATATTACCATGGATAGTAAAAAGTCAAATCATCTGCCAAGATTTTCAACAAAACTTTCGATGAAAGAATTGACAGATAGCCAAATGATGATTAGTGCAATTCCAATAGTCAATAAAGGTGACAGGAAAAGGCACTGAACTACAGACAAGTATCCTTGACAGGCACTGATGTATGCAAAGCAAGAAAAAAGATAGTAAGAGAGAAACTAGTACATATAACATATGAGCTTCCTCACAGAACATGAACGTGATTTAAGAATGGCAAATTCTGCCTCACTCACAAATACAGTAAATGCCTACAATAAACTAAGGAGGTATGCAAGAAAGTGAAGGGTAAGCAGACTGCATACCCCTTGACCACAAGGTACCTTTGGTACAGCAATACACAAAAAGATGTACACAAACTGAACCCACAGGCTTGAGTGACAGGTAGGTTTTTCTTATTTAGGGGAAAGTGTACAAAAGAAATGTAACAGGCAAAAGAGAATTAACCATTTTTTAAATTTCCAAGAGACTCAATCAGCTGTTCTCATTATTAGATGTAATCATAACTGATATTAAATAAACAATAACTCTGAGAGCTTAAAAAAACAAAATAATCTATCTTATCCTAATCAACAAAAGACAAACATACCGTAATATAAAGTAGTACTTCAATACCACAGCTAATTATTCAATATTTAAGTTATATTTCAAAAAGGAGATCTGATGTTAGTAAAGGGCTCCTGATCCAAGGAACTGTAGCTACCCTCCCCCTTCTTTGCATCACACTTGATTATACTGAATTATCAGGCCCTTCATGACCCCAATGGGCTTATCACTTCCCATGCATAAAATATAATAATCATCCTCTAGATCTTTACGAGTTTAGTGACTTCAAAGAATTAACCCTTTGACTGTCGTGGTTGTATATATACATCTTACGAGGTACCGTGTTTGACGTATATATACTCATAAATTCTAGTGGCTTCAAATCAAGCAGGAGAAAGCTGGTAGGCCCACATGTGAGAGAATGGGTCTGTGTGGTCAGTGTGCACCATATAAAAAAAATCCTGGAGCACGCAGTGCATAATGAGAAAAAAAAAACTCCGACCATTTTTTTTTAATTAAAATGCCGACTTTGTGGTCTACTATTTTCGTATAGTATTTATGGTTGTATTCTCGTTTTCTTGGTCTCATTTGATAGAATGGAAAACATATTATAGAAATAGAGGTGATTTTGATTGATTTTACTATAAAAAGAACCTGGAAATGGAGCTCAAAGTATTTGGAATGTTTGATTTTTGCCGATGTTCAAAAGTAAACAAATGATGTCATTGTCCAATAAATGTCCAACTAGCCATTCTAATATGCAGTCACAAATGGGTTGATGTTATTTATACAATTATTACAGTATTGCAGTAGTCTGCATAATAGTAAATCTTCTATTTTTTGTTTGAATAAAAATTCAAAATAGAAAGCAAGAGTAATATCAGAGGGGCTTGGAGACATGACAGATGAACAAAGAAAATGTTATTTTAGAGCCAGGAATGTCTGCCTTGTTCATTCTGAACCTTATTTTGAAATTATCATATTTTTTAATTTTCGTGAAATTGGCCAAATTGAAAATTTTTCTGACCACGTTATTGGGTAGTTGAAATTGGTAAATGGGCAGTTTCTTGTACTCAATCGATAGAAAAATGGAGTTCTAAAGAAATAGCTATGAGTTTGGTCGACGGGAAAACAATGGAATTAGCCGAAAATAGGGCTCAAAATGGGCGAAATCGCCGATTTGTAAATATCGCTGAGGTCGCTAATTCACGAGAGCGTAATTCCGTCAGTTTTCCATCAAATTTCATTTTTTTTTTGGTGTCATTACAATCGGGAAAAGATTCTTTATCATTTCACAAGAAATTTTTTTTTTTTTTTAAATGTTGCGACACCAGGAGACACCTCAGGATTGGGGGTTGCGACAGTCAAGGGGTTAAAAGAAGTACAGTGGTATCCCGAGTTTTGAACTTTCTTCATTCCAGAAGGCTGTTCAAGTGCCGTTACCGAACGAATTTGTTCCCATAAAGAATAATGTAAATTAGATTAGTCCGTTTCAGACCCCCAAATATACACCAATAAAAGCACATACAATATTACACTTACATAATTGGTCAAGTTGGGAGCAGTTCGAAACTCAGGGTACCACTGTACCTGAATACCCAACCTTTACTCTTTTATAAATTCTGACAAATTCTGTTCCAATCCAAAAATGAACCCTGAACAAAATTTTTAACTTAATCAGTGTACACATTAGAAAGCTATCACCCCTTCAAATTACAGTTTTAATGCTGACTTAATTACATATCAGGCATAAAAAAAAATCCCTCAGTTTGCTAACATCAAAAGATAAAGCACAATGACTTACCCTTGTTGGGACAGAGGACACAATCAGGTTTGATGCCTAGTGAGCAAGTGCGACAGAGCCAGGAACCTGAGGGAATGGCTGTGATTCCATAGCACGCTTGGTGAACGCATATGTTGCAGGAGTCGCAAAACACCATCTCATTCCCTTCCTCACTATCAGGCTGAAAGAGCAAAATAATGAGTGAAACTTAACTAAAATAATGAACAAATGATAAAAAGTAAGGTATAATTACCTACAACATATACAGTTACAATACATACCTATTTATGGTAACACGATCTTCCCGTCCTTGGATCAATCTGCTCATTCCCCAGGTGCTGTATGACCCCCAACAGGTTTAGCACTTCCCCATAAATATAATAATATTTCAGAGGGAGGGCAATGCTGATGATGTTTTTCATTCTTAATTCATCATAATAATTTTAAACTTTACAAGAGTTGCTATTTACACACCTCTTTTTGAGCTCATTTCATGCTTCAACATTATCATCATATTTGAAGAAAAAAATTCCTTCAGTTTTTTTGTACATCATTTCCAAAATTTAAGACTGGGTCATTATGTTCTTACTGACCTGTTGTTGGTTCTGGGAATCACTGGCACCATATACAAGTCTCAGACAAGGTTTTTTGGTTGACAATCTGGTCAGGCAGGCTGCTGATGTACACAGTACAGTCAACAGTGAAATTACAGTGGACCCCCGGTTAACGATTTTAATCCGTGCAAGAGGGCTCATCGTTATGCGAAATAATCGTTATGCGAATGAATTTTCCCCATAAGAAATAATGGAAATAAAATTAATCCGGGGCAAGACGCCCAAAAGTATAAAAAAAAATTTTTTTTTTAAACCACATGAAATGTTAATTTTAATACACACAAACTGAAAAAGGCATGCACAATTAAATGACACTTACTTTTATTGAAGATTGGTGATGATTGATGGGATGGGAGGAGGGGAGAGAGTGTGTTAGTGTTTAGAAGGGGAATCCCCTTCCATTAGGACTTGAGGTAGTAAGTCCTTTTCTGGGGTTACTTCCCTTCTTCTTTTAATGCCACTAGGGCCAGCTTCAGAGTCACTGGACTTCTTTCGCACAAGATATCTGTCCATAGTGGCCTGTACCTCTCGTTCCTTTATGACTTGCCTAAAGTGTTTCACAACATTGTCAGTGTAATAATCACCAGCACGGCTTGCAATAGCTGTGTGAGGGTGATTTTATCCATGAAGGTTTGCACTTCAAGCCACTTAGCACAGATTTCCTTTATCTTTGTAGTAGGCAACTTCTTCAATTTCTCTCCACCTCCTCTGAACCAGTTTCCCCAGGTCTGGCCTCTTGCTCTTGAAGTTGATCTATCAGCTCATCAGTGGTTAGTTCTTCATTGTCCTCCTCCACCAACTCTTCCACATCCTCCCCACTAACCTCCAACCCCAAGGACTTTCCCAATGCCACAATGGATTCCTCAACTGGCACAGGATTCTCAGGGTTAGCCTCAAACCCTTCAAAATCCCTTTTGTCTACACATTCTGGCCACAGTTTCTTCCAAGCAGAGTTCAAGGTCCTCTTAGTCACTTCCTCCCAAGCCTTACCTATAAGGTTTACACAATTGAGGATATTAAAGTGATCTCTCCAAAACTCTCTTAGAGTCAGTTGAGTTTCTGAGGTCATTACAAAGCACCTTTCAAACAGAGCTTTTGTGTACAGTTTCTTGAAGTTGGAAATAACCTGCTGGTCCATGGGCTGCAGGAGAGGAGTGGTATTAGGAGGCAAAAACTTCACCTTAATGAAGCTCATGTCCCCATAAAGTCGCTCTGCCACGTCTGTAGGATGACCAGGGGCATTGTCTAACACCAGGAGGCACTTAAGTTCTAATTTCTTTTCAGTTAGGTAATTTTTCACATTGGGGGCAAATGCATGGTGTAACCAGTTATAGAAAAATTCCCTAGTGACCCATGCCTTACTGTTTGCCTCCACAGCACACACAAAATTATCCTTGAGGACATTCTTTTGCCTGAACGCTCTGGGAGTTTCAGAGTGATACACTAATAAAGGCTTCACTTTGCAATCACCAGTAGCATTGGCACACATCAACAAAGTAAGCCTGTCTTTCATAGGCTTATGTCCTGGGAGTGCCTTTTCCTCCTGAGTAATGTAGGTCCTGCTTGGCATTTTCTTCCAGAACAGGCCTGTTTCATCACAATTAAACACTTGTTCAGGTTTCAGTCCTTCAGTTTCTATGTACTCCTTGAATTCCTGCACATATTTTTCAGCCGCTTTGTGGTCCGAAAATGGCAGCCTCACCATGCCTTATCACACTATGGATGCCACTACGCTTCTTAAATCTCTCAAACCAACCTTTGCTGGCCTTAAATTCACTCACATCATCACTAGTTGCAGGCATTTTTTTTAATTAAATCCTCATGCAACTTCCTAGCCTTTTCACATATGATCGCTTGAGAGATGCTATCTCCTGCTATCTGTTTTTCATTTATCCACACCATAAGAGTCTCTCAACATCTTCCATCACTTGCGATCTTTGTTTCGAAAACACAGTTGAACCTTTGGCAAGAACAGCTTCCTTGATTGTCTTTCTGGTGCCCACAATAGTAGCGATGGTTGATTGGGGTTTCTTGTACAGCTTGACTAGGTCGGCTATACGCCACTCCACTTTCATACTTATCAATTATCTCTTTCTTCATCTCTATAGTAATTCTTACCCTTTGAGGTGTAGGGTTGGCACTAGAAGCTTTCTTGGGGCCCATGGTCACTTATTTTCCAGAAACAGCACCGAAAATACTGTAATAATACGAAATATTCCGAGTGTATGCTTGGATGTTACCGCGGAGGCTGGCTGGTAAACAATGGGACGGGGCGGCACATGTGAGGCTGGCTGAGGGCACATTGGACGCGTCTCGGACGAAAATCGGTAAGCGGGTTTTTAATCGGTATGCGCGGCAAAAATTTTGCGATAAAAGTAATCGTTATGCGGAAAAATCGCTATGTGATGCCATCGTTATGCGGGGGTCCACTGTAAACACTTCACTGAGGGAAACATATCCATTCTGGATAAATCAGGCTGGCAAAAAAGCATCTACAATTACTTTTCAGCCTCACATTTTAATCTTGATTTGTCTTATCTCACCCTCATTACCCAACCTTTCTTCCACCCCAACCCTTCTATCAAGGCATACATAGGTCTTATTACACACATTCTAGGAGTAAGGGTCATCCTAGAAAAAGTTGAAGGGAGGGGGTAAAGGAGGTTTTAAGTGTTAGGGGGGTTTGGACATGCAACAGGCTTGTGTGAGCATGTTAGACAGGAGTGAGTGGAGGCAAGTGGTTTTATGATTTGATGTGCTGTCAGTTATTTCAGCAGGAAACCTTCCCTCAAAAAATGTCACCATGTCTGGATCTTAAAGAATACAGCCATAATGCACCTGGAGAAGTCTGAGTTCCATGTCTTTATTTTCTGGATGAAGATATAGTACTACTAGATATATACTTCAGCCCCTCAAAGCATGGATCCAGCCTTCTCAACTTGTCTCCCACAAAAGGGTTCATCTTTGTCACTGTATATTTTTACACAACAATAATTCCCTGGGCTAACATTTGTCCCAGATGTCTTGGTTTTCCCTTCCCTCTTGGCTACTGTAGTACAATATCATCTTGATGCTGGCTTAACCCTTAAACTGTTTAAGGGTTAAATATGGCCAATGCAAAGTTTATTCTTATAAATCTACAAACAATCCCTATCAGAGTGCTAAGATAAAATTTAATCAGTATTTGACTACAAGTAACACATTTAAGGAAAACATTACTATGTGCTACTAAATCTTCCCATTTATCATCTAATTATGCAATCAAAGCAATGTAACAATTAAAACAGATAAGGTTAATACATTTGATTACATGTCCATGGTGCCCTCACACCCTCTACTGCATAATTAAAAATGGTCATTGTATACTGTTCTAATTACTTCAGATGCATGGTGTATTAACCCTGGGGGTGTAGGGAAGCCTTACCCATCTTCAGAAAAAAATGGGCAAAAATCAAATGTTTCCAATGCTGTACTTTGAACCCAGTTTCGAGCTACTTCTGAAACCTACCAAAATCATCCCCATTTCAGTAATATAGCCTTCATGTATCAAATGATACCAAAAAACAGCCAATAAAACCCATAAAAAAAACATCCTTGAAAACACCTCAAGTTCACTATTGTAACCCTTCCAGTGGCTGCCACATAAAACTATGTTATTGAGGCCAGGGTCCCTCATGTAGTTCCACATCATGAGCTCAGTTCACTAATATATGGTATGAATGGTAAATTTAGGTTTAGATATGAGAGAATGGGTCCATGCGGTGAGTGTACGGTACACAGCATAAAAAAAAAAAATCCTGTTCACGCAGTGCATGATGGGAAAAGCAAAATTCCTATTGTGTGAATGGTTTAAAATAGCAGCTTTGAGGTGTTTTCTTAGTTTTTCTTGTTTTATTGGCTGTTATTCAGTATTAATTGATAGAATGGAACACATACTACTGAAATAGAGATTCTTTTGGTACATTTTCGGGGCCTGGACAGTGAAAGCGTTAAAAGATACATGATTATAGTTCCGCTTTTCCATTCCTTACACCGTATGACCTGCACAGCTTCAAAATTTCACAGTATAATAATCTAAACATTATTTTCACTGACACCTGCCCTTGTGATCTGAGTGGGCATGTTAGAAGTCATACATTATCTAAAAGCTTGTGTGATATTTTCTGCAAATGATTGTACTGTAGTATGATGTTGAGACTCAATGTTCAAATCTTACATTAACCCACTGACTGCAGTGAGGGAGCACAAGATCATTTTCCCAGTATCAATTAGACAGAAACGTATTGTATCACTAATGAACCTTTTTTTCCCGACTTTTTCAGGAGGTTTAAGCCTGGCTGGATGAGCAGTGTTTGTCTCATAATTCGTGGAGAGAGAATCAAGCCTCCACCACTTCTTAACCTCGATGACCCACACAGATCTCGTGCTTCATATAAATGTAGCCTCTCCCCACTTAACGATGGAGTTCCGTTCCTAAGACTATGTCGTTAAACAAATTCGTTGCAAAGTGAGGAGCATACTATAATGGTATTGAGTTTGTGTCAACCATCTTTGATATTGTTTTAAT